GAGCCTTGTATTACATTTTTACACTTTTTGGAACAACAGATATAACTTTTTTGATAATTATAGAAAAAAAAACTAAAATAATTTAAAACTGTAAATGTCCGTAAACAGCTCAAAAAGAGTCAAAAAGAGTCAAAATATTTTCAAAATTGTAAGGAGTATAGGAAATGCTAATAAAAACATTCAGTGAAATTTTCATGTATCTATAGTTATTCGTTTTTGAATTACAACAAAATAAGGAAATTGCTACATTCAGAATTTAATATGACTTTCTTCTAGACATTTTTTTTTTTTTTATAAAGGTAGATAATCTTATAAAGAATCTTGTATTACATTTTAAAATCTTAGATTTAAAAGGAAATTTTTACGAATTCTTAACTCAAAACAATTTGCTAATTTTCTTGATTTTTACATATTTTTCCAATTTTTGAACTTTAAATGCTTATAAAAAAAAACTGTGACTAAGGATTTTTAATATTTTTCATCTGCCTTTGAAACAATATACTAGGAGCCTTCTATTAAATTTTCAAGCATTCGCAACCAACAAATAAAATTTTATTGATATTTTTAGAAAAAAAACTAAAAAAAAAATGGAAAATGAAAATGTTCCTTAAATAGTTCAAAATAAACAAAATATTTTGAAAATGTTTTCGTGTATAGAAAATGAGAATATAAACAACCAGTGAAAATTTCATGTATCTACGGTCATTTGTTTTAAAGTTACACCAAAAACCAAATTCAATTTTGTGAAAAATCGATTTAGCATAAAAATTACCGTTTTTCCTTAATTTTTCTTTTTTTTTCTTGGCGCTTTTGAAAATTACTTTGAATTTTAAATTTTGACCTCTCCAATGCACCAACGATATTCACTTTCCAATCGAACAAGATACTGAAGTTGAAAATCGAAGGATTATTTCGACTAGGTACTCATCGTATACAAAGACACAAAAAAGTGTCTAAGTGTCAAGTTTAATACAATCCATTATACAATGACCCACTTGTAACCTACTGTACAGCAGAGCGACATCCACTTACCCGCTTTTTTTTATTGTAGTTCTTATAGTTTACATTTGTACGATAAGAAGTCGAAATAATGCTTCGATTTTTAATTTCGGTACTTTCTAAGGCTGCATTTGAGAGGTCAACATTAAAAATTCCCAATAGTTTTCAAGAACGTCGAAAAAACAAAAGAATAATATTTGTTTAGGAAAACGAGAGTTTTTATGCAAATTATAGTGACCCACTTGTAACCTACTAACTGTACAGCACAGCATATCCACTTGCCCTCCTTTTTATATGTTTATTATATGATATACATAAAGTAATAAAAAAAAATCAATTTAATTAATAAGGAATGTAAAAACCTTGAATACGGACTAAGTGGTTATTGCCTATTGGATTATTATTGATTACGTGGCAAATCTAGCAAAAATACATGGTAAAATTCTTTTTCAATTTTTTTTTATCCAATTGTATACCTAGTTTAAGTTAATTTTTGGTCATGTTTTTTTTTTTACTTTTTCCAAACAATTGTATTCTTTTTTTTATTATTAATCATGCTATAAAATTCGAGCCTCACTTATCACTTACACAGACACAAAACAATTAAAAATACTCAGAATCTAAAATAATAACGGAGAAAATAACATTCAAGAGCCCCGAAAATCAGTAAATCCGAAGCTTTAAAATACGTAAAAAGTTGTAATATATATCTTAATCATAGGCGTGACTAGACTTAATCAGCAGGGGCAGCCTATCTAATTACCAGCACAACCTTATTAGTGAACTGAAAAAAGTACTATACACCAAAAGCCGTATTTTTTTTAAGTCCCCCTCCACAATGAAATATTTATATAATTAAAAAACAAGACTAAATTATCTATTTACAATAATAATCTACAGTAACTTCAGAAATATTATTCATCTACTACCTTGGATTACACCACCTAGCTACAAATCAAAAACAATACAACAATAATATCAATAATACCTAGATGCGTACTGTACCGTCGTCGTCTGTCTCAAGTCTTTATAGTAGGTTTTTCTGATTTCGGAAGTCAGGAAATCAATCTTTGTAAGTAAATGGTAATTATAACGATACCCACCAAAAAGTCAAGTATTAAAAAAAAAGAAATGTTGAAACCCTTCTGACTTATAAGCTGGTTGATCGGCACCTTTCAAAAATTGCAGTTGCAGCTCAGGCATCCTAGGCTGCCACCGTAGACACACCTATGATCTTAATTCGTTCAATAAATATTAAATGGTAGGTACTAAATGACTGAATATCTTAGAAGTTAAATTTGTAGTAGTCAGTATTCAAGATAGGAACACATTTTTCTAGATTAATAATATTATTAAATTTTGTTAGATTTTAATAAGGAACCCTCATTATTCCATCGTTCGTCAATCATTAGATTTATGTAGGTATGTTACTAGTGATTGATGCCGTATAGTATGCGTTACTAGTGTTTATAATGTTGGTTTTTAAAATAAGTTATAAAACACGATAATTTAATTAAATAATGGAGAAAGTTATTCATAGTTATAGATTTGTCTAAATATATTGTCTCAAAAATCAAAACAATTCAATAAGTATAACCATTTAAATTTTATATTTTTCAGGAAAATAATAATATAAAACCGACATTATAATTTTGTTGTCACGTCTGCACCGAAAGTTTAGTTTTCGATGACGGTTAAAGCGGAAAGTGACCTTTTCCGTCCAGTGGGCGGTCAAGTGAAAATCCCAAAACGTGGTAATTTTAAGCGCAATTGGTAAACTCCGTAACCAGACACTGATCGATTAACACAGAGGTTTGACAAAAAATAGTTAGTGTGACTCGTGATAGAAGGCAATTTTCAAAAAGCTCACTACCCCCTTGCCAGTTGCCACACAATATTAAATATACTATAGTAATAACTAATAATAGGTTATTCAAAAATCATAAAAAAAATGGTTTTTTATCTACGTTTGCAGACAGTGAGAGAAAACAAATATTGCGCTAACTGACATCCTATTGATAATTTGTGTTTATTTAATGCTCATGATTTATTTAACGATATATAGTATATAAATTATACCCTTTGCACTACAGTATCATTTCATCAAAAGAAATTATTTATTAATTCATTAATTATAAATTAAAATACATTTGGTACCTATTAATTATTTTAAAATCTGAAATCAACTACATCCACCATCTAGCTCATGAGATAAGTACTTTCACCCCTATAATGCAATATACTGGCCTGATTTTTAATGTAATTTTTTTAACTGTTTTTAACTTTTTTTACTGTATAACAGTATTTATAGTAGTTATTTTTGATTCTGGCTTCCTCGCAGGTCTATGAGCATATTACCACTGGTCATTTTATAAGAATTTATACCATTTGTCTCAAATGTTTGAAAAGAGTTACCTAACTAAAACCTACATTTTTCTTTGGCTAGCCTCATTTAATTTTATTTAATTTTAAATTAAAAATAATTAATATAATATTATGTTATATACAAATTGAATTTTTTTTTTGCATGCTTATATTAAACAAACTTAGGTGGGTGCGTGGGGGGAGGGGTACCTAATGAAATGAAAAATGAAACCTTCAAAATTGCTCAATTTACTTATTATTCAACCATTTTCAATAGTTTTTGTTTGAAAAGATGAATCTTATATTTACCTACAAATATAACCGCTAATTTAACACTAACAGTCTTGTTTTTTTTATATAAAGTAAGTACTTATTATGGAACTTTTTTGAAAAAGTATAAAAATATTTGCTCATGTTAATAGGTTCTTAATAAAATGAAAACTGGTAACAATATTGAATGGAATCAAGAAGCTAAAACAACTAATTTTCTATTTTAATTTGAAAACTAGTGTAAATTTAATATCTTTATAATTAATTAATATTTGTAACCAGCGGACACAGAATGATCAAATTTCTCTCTGTCTCATCTACAATGAAGCATATAAATAATATTGTTACTAAATATTAAATCAAAAAGTAAAATGTAATTTATTGACTCACTTTATGTATAAACATACCTATTAAGCGTTTTACATAATTTCTATATATTCTACAAAATACTAATATATCTTTTTTTGGTAAATACATTTGTACATTAAATTTTCAAATTTGAATATGAAAATACATTTTAAGACATGCAGTATGGCAGATTTTGTAAATGTTCACGTCGGTTCATTTGTCTCACTGCATAGAACAATGTGTAGGCATAGACGTCAAATTCATCCAGTCACTCCTCAGTCTATGACTGAATTCCACTTACAATTAACAGGAGAATATGCGCAACTTTAGAAGAAGGAACCACTTTACTTTTCATTTTGCCTGAAATCAAAAAGTATATAACTATAAAATATAATAAACTTTATTTAAAATAAATAATAATTTCATATAGGCACTGTCTTATTATATAATTAATTTAGTTTACTTAGGACAGGTTCAACTTTTTTGTTGGATGGCACATATTTTTCTAGTTCACCAAGTTTTGGAAACGAATGCCACTAATTATATGTCATAATGGGCATAACATTTAATACTGTGAGTTTTGTATGTAGTTTGTAAATAAATAATATTAAATTAGAAAATAACTATTTTACTAATTAGATTATTTTAAGTTACTTTTTTTTTAAATCTATTTATAAAAATATTTGCATTGATGTCGAGGAAAACGAAAAGTGCATACACTGCGCTTTTCAATAAGATTTTAAGCATAGTACCAGAGTGGCAACCTCAAACCATAATAGTTGATTTTGAAAGGGCAGATAAGAACAATGTTTCCAAATACCACTATTAGAGGCTGTTGGTTTCATTCCTCCCAAGTGGTATGGAGAATAGTTGCAAACATAGGTAAGATTACTCTAAAATCTGAATTTGTAATTAATAATAAATTTAATGTATAGTCAATTAATAAAACTGGTTAATATTTAGGATCGATTGAAATATATAGTAACCATCGAGGAGCCTATGACACTGTGCATATGTTGATGGCATTGCCTTTGCTGCCAAAAAATTGTATAGCTGAAGGTTTTGAAACTGTAAGGGCATACTATAATGAGAATGTGCAATCATTGATTAGCAATAATAATGATTACAATTTTAAATTATTATTTGAATATTATAGAACAACATGGCTTGCAGGTCTGTAAAATACAAAATAATGGTTTTAATATAATAATTTTTGTTCATACAACTAAACAAATTTATTACTAACCTTACACTATTTCCAATAGGAATAAATGCAGATATATTGTCGGTGAGTGACACCGTTTGGCGAACCAACAATGTGTTGAAGTAAGTCACAGACATCTCCAGACGCACATGTAAAATCGGCACAATCCTTAGCCATGGGTGTTTTTGAGTAATTATATTTTTGTTTATTTAACACTAGAAAAGGAATTTATCAGTATTTTATACTTACAAAGGAGCTAATTACTTACTGGAATGGTGTTTTCAACGATTATAATGAGGCTACTGATGGTGGACAAGTAAGATAACCTCAACGGAAAGTTTGGATAGATCAGCCGGTGCATCCGAATTGCATGCCAAAAAAATAAATATAAATCGGGTCGTCCGAATTGCATGCCGTCTCTTGGAGGGGTCTGTCCGAATTACATGCCGTCTCTTGAAGGGGTCTGTCCGAATTGCATGCCGTCTCTTAAAGGGGTCTGTCCGAATTGCATGCCATCTCTTAGAGGGGTATATCCGAATACACAACTTACTTTTCAACTGGAGGATCGGGATTTTGTTACATTACAATAAAACATATAAATATTGTAGAAGGTGACACTGTGAATAAGAATCATAAAAATATAAAACTATTTTTATTCCATCGACAACAAAGCCATTAGTTAAATAAAACTATTGTAGTTCAGGGTAATCAAGTGAGTGTATTTTAAATAATATTATTTTTAAATTTGGTGGTTTTTTTGACATTTCGGGCACAATATTACAATTTAAATAAACAAAATAATATATAATAATAATTCATAATAATAAAATATTATTAATCTGTTGTGAAACAGACCGAGACCACAATACACTACATTACTCCAATATAGATACTGTTTGGGAATATATTTACACGGATATAAAAATATTTTAATCCAGAAACTAATCACTAAACAGTTGTAACAAACATACATAAAAGAGCGTTTCTATACATGCATTTTTTTAAAAAAATTAGGAAAGTCCAAAAAAAAAGTTTAAGTTGTTTAAGTGCATAGTAAATAAACGTGTGGTGTACGGCATGCAATTCGGACAAACCCCTCCAAGAGATGGCACGCAATTCGGACAAACCCCTACAAGAGACGGCATGCAATTTGGACATTTTTTTTTTTTGGCATGCAATTCGTATGCAGCCAGATCAGCAAAGGAATTTAGATAGATCATTGAGGATGTTTATAGAAGGACGCTACTCAATGTCAGAATTTTTAATATGTGCTAGGCATTCAACACCAAATTTTGGTGTAATACTTCCTGCTGCTGTCTTTCCATAAGCTCCACAGGCTTTATTACCACTACCCGTTGATCAGCATTTGGAACTGCAACTTCCAGCTATTCCTGTGCTCCCTGCTACTGCTTTACCACAGGCACCACTACAAGAAGAACCATCTTTATTACCACTGAACGATGATCAGCATCAGGAACTGATTCGCGATAAAATAATGAGAAGGATTTTACCACGTACACCGGCAGTGCCCGTTCCATGTGATCGTATGACTTTTCATTATAATATTACTTATACAGATTTCCAATAAAATATACTAATAAATAACTCTCTCTTATACCTAGTTTTTTATAATCTCGATGCTGATGTAGATTATTCAGATGAAGATGTGTCTAACGAACAGTCTGTGATACCATCAGTTATTTACATTGTACGTGTAGATTTGATAAGTAAGTAGTAATTATCTGAAATTTGTTTCTAGCTAAAGTAATTGATTAAAAATAATGATGTTTTATTATTTTTTAAAGTTGTACCAATAGTAGAGGAAACATGTTACATATGTCTGTACAGTCCACCAACAGTAGTAGAGTATCCATGCTTACACCAAATCCTATGTGGAGCTTGTCATGATAGCTATTCAGGTAATGCCTCCGAATGAGCACAGGCCATATTACCGCTATCCACTTTGTAGAGCTGGAATAGAAATCTACTATATTATATTAACGTGACAACAATTATAATTAACTATTTATCAACTAGCCATAAACCTACTTTCACTCTTTAATTTTTTAACAAATCAAACAAAATTAAACTAATTTTCTTGGTATGACATATCTATCTAATCTATCAATCTAACTTGGGTTTTGACTGTTTTGAGTAAGTTTAACACACTTTCTTGATAATATATCATATTCATATAAGTAACATATTATAGGTATACTGTAAGTAGGTACCTAGTACCTACATTGAAATTAAAATTGTTACCAATTATGTGTTCACTATCAATTGTGAATATAATGAGATGTGATTACACATAATTTACAAATACTCAGTCTATATAGTATATATTATCTACTATACTGTATCACTGTTACTACTTACTACAAGTTACAACAAACTACTAGTCAACCTAATAATAGTTATTAAGTTTTTAGTTAAATTATAGTAGGTAATTATTATTTATTAGGTATTAAAATCATAAATATGACCATAATGAAAAAACTTACTTCGACACTTCGTCATGATATCATAATATATGTCCTACAATGAGAATTGAGAAAACCTTATTATATTATATTATTATTATCTTAGATCATATACTATGGATGAAGCCATGGCTTATCTCGCCTGTGTAACCAATTTGAAGCACATATTAGCGACGAGTCTCTACTTTAGATTCGTTTTCTGCGTATGCGTGAGTATACTCGTCGCATATTTATTTTATTTTAATTACATTACTGATGTATAATACTATAATCATTAATCCATGATAATATTCAAGATATCAATAGACAATAATTATTTTTAGTTATCACTCATGAGTTCCCTAGGAGAATTAAAAACATTAGAATAAATATGCGACGAGTATACTCGCGCATGCGCAGATAATGAATCTCAAGGAGAGACTTGTCGCTTATATGTGCTTCAAATATCAGGCCATGGCTCCATCCATAGTATATGATCTAAGTTTATTATACATCCTATGAACTAAATAAATTGAAATAAATTATTGATAGGTTGTGTATGAGAGATAACGGTTGTTATTTGGAGGTAAGGTTATAAATTGTTACCTCCAACGTATATTCATCGGTTTCGGATAAAAAAAACGAATGAATCTTCGCAGGAAAGAATTTCTCGGTTTGGTTCAAGTCCGCGCAATACGTCACTTGCTCAGTTGCTAAAAGTAACAATACCTTAGGTATCAAAGCGCAAGCACTTGTGCACTTCTTATAGCCAATACATTGAGAACAGGCGACAGAGAGAACCACAAAATAATCATTGTAAAACCACTAACCAGATAATGTTATTTCAAAATATGGGCTTCAGCCTTCAGTTCTGGTTATTGAACCTGGTTCCGGTTACCGATGTTACGTCCCAACGGAGGTCGATATATAGTATATACATCAACGCAGGAATGAAATACTGATGTAGGTACTTGGTTATGATGAGTGTTTATTTAAGTACAAAATTACAATGTATATAAGCTATGGTGGAGATGTGAACGATGTTACGAACTGACTCCAAAATTTTTAAAGTTAACAGTTAACCTATTTTTTTTTTTAGCTCAGTGAAGTTAAAAGTTATATGAACATTTTCAATTCACTTATTAATATTTTTTTTTTTATATCTTTATAAATACCCATTATGGTTTAAAATAATAAAAATCATAAATATTATTGAACATAGGAAATAACCCAATTAATTTTAATTAAAAAATAACTTATTTATAACGAAAATATTTAATAATATTATGTTCTTAATAATTGTACATTTGTGATTAAATTCAAAAAGGTTAAGTTAAAAAGTTAAAATTAACTAAACTGTTAAAACACTAATTAAGCGGACAAAGGCGATGAACTTAACACATCAACGTTCGGTTATTAACTGTCTTTTATTATAGAGATCACAGTGGTAGGGACCATCTCAGGTCTATCAGTGTGTCCAACCTTCAATATTAATTTTCTTTGCTTACATAATTCCTTAACTAAACTTAATTTTTAACAATTCGGCCTTCCTGGCACTGTTGGCCGTCCCGGCCCAACATAACACATAATGTAAACATAATTATAAACATAATTAAACATAAACATAATTATTATAAATATCATTAAATATCATAGTATTATAAATATACAAGTAAGTAAAAAAAAATCAACAGGGTAACAAAACGTACATAGGTAATTTAGGAACATATTAATTAGTATAATCTTTTAAGTAGATAGGTCTCTTAATCTTGCGACTGGAGGTTCTTTGACTAGAATTAGTGTCCGCTGCAGATGGTACCAAAGAGTCAGATCTCACTGGCTCAGCCATCGTTGTGGTTACTGCTTGCTTTTCCGAACCGTCACTGTCCTGCCCCTCTTGGTCGGATTGTTCTGATTCACTGCCTTCTCCTTGATCCGTAGCGAAGCGCTTCAGGGCACTAATGTGTGCTGTAGTAGCATATAATTGTTTTCCTTCATGATGTAGATCTGCAATTTTATAAGTGTCGCCAGCACATACAGCAGTCACTATCATTGGTCCCCGGTACTTGGGCTGCAACTTAGTTGATGTACCGGTGGACACCGGGGGTCGTCGTAGGTAGACAATTTCCCCTACACATAAAGTTTGGTTTTTACGGTGTTTGTCATGCCGTTCCTTCCACTGGGCTTGCTTTTCTGCTATGTCTTTGCGTATTTGTTGCTGGACTTCTGCTGGTTTTTGATATGCTGGAGTTAGTGTAGTGAGTGTATCTAGTAGACCATCTCGAATCACTGCATCGAATCCGTATAATGCATAGAAAGGACTAACTCCAATAGTTTGATTTATTGCAGTGTTCAGCATCAACTCTAGTTCAGCCAGATGTTTATCCCAAGTTGCTTCGGTCATCATGCTAGTTGATATTGCTGATAGCACAGTGGAGTTAGCTCGCTCTACTTGCCCATTTGCACGTGGATGTCGTACAGCTACTGGGTGGTGCTGGATCCCGTTAGCCTTGCAGTACTGCCAGAAGTGTTCTGATTGGAATGATGTTCCTCTATCCGTAATGATCCTTTTGGGTAATCCATAGTTTAGAGCAAAATCTTTCAGTTGTTTTACAACTACTGTGGATTGTACTGTCTTAGATGCGTACAATTTAACAAATTTAGTTAGGTTGTCAACCAATACCAGAATGTACGCATTACCTTTGGTACTTTTCGGGAACGGTCCTAAATGGTCAATATTTATTGTCTCGAACGGACGTTCACCTGGATTGATTGGGTGCAGCATACCAGCTTGTCTCCCTCTTGACTTCTTGTATAGGGCACACTCAGGACACATTCCTATGTGCACTCTGAGATACCTCCGCATCCGTGGGAAGTAATATCGTTCTGTAATTTTGGCATACGTTCTGTCGACTGCAAAGTGACCACTGAGGTCATGGAACTTGATCGCTAAGCTTTTTCTCATACATTTAGGCACCATCCAGAGTTGACGTGGTCCAGCTGCAGTCTGTACTCGCCTATACAACACTCCGTTTATTACATCATAATTATTAAGTAATAACTTACTCGGTGTAGCTCCCTCTAGTGATTTGATTATACCCATAATTTCAGAATCACTATACTGCATGCTCTTGACATACTGTTCCTCAGTGAGAGTTGTGAATACTTCTAGGCGGTTAGCTATAATCTCATCCAGTGTGTCCGTACTGTTCTCAGTGGGGGCTCGGCTCAGTGCATCTACATGAGCCATGGCTGTACCAGCTCGGTGTCTGACTTCTACATCAAACTCCTGCATCAAATCGAACCACCGGGTGATTTGAGAGTTAGACGTTTTCAGGCCATTCATATAGACTAAAGCTTGGCAGTCTGTCACCACTGTGACATGAATTCCAATTAGCCATGATCTTAGTCGATCCAATGACCACACTATGGTCATGAGTTCTAGCTTGCTGGAGTGGTATTTACTTTCGGCTTCATTAGTCTTCTTACTGAAACAGTGTACTAGGCGTAACTTACCAGAGTCGTCTTCCTGTAACAGCATTCCTGCTAGTCCCAGACTGGAAGCGTCCGTGTGTAATTCAGTTGGGCGAGTAGCATCAAATAGCGCCAGAACAGGTTCGTTGAGCAAACTTGATTTGACTTGTTCAAATGCTTGTTGTTCCGCTTTGCTCCATTGAAATGCTACTCCTTTTCTGGTCAGGTCGGTGATGGCTCTAGCCTTTTCAGCAAACTTTGGTACAAAGCGACGGAAGAAGTTTGCAAGTCCCATGAACCGGCGCACGTCATGCTCGTTCTGTGGGGTTGGAAATTCTCTTATCGCTCGTAGTTTGGTGGGCCCTGGACGAAGGCCATCAGCTGATAATACGTACCCCAGAAATTCAATGCTTTTTGCCGCAAACTTGCACTTACTAGGTCTTAATGTCAGTTTCGCATCTGTAAATGCCTTTAGTACGTGGTGAAGTCGTTCTTTCATCTCTGGCCAATCCTTGGCGGGTATAAAATAATCATCAAAATAATTTAGAACTACCTTGTTCTTTAAAGATCCAATAGTGCGATCCATCACTTTTGCAAATTCGAATGGGGCGTTCTTTAGGCCAAACACCATCCGTGTAAACTGCCCTGTACCATCAGGAGTAATGAATCCAGTTAACGGTCTTGCTGACTCCGCCAGCGGGATCTGCAGATATCCATGGGCCAAATCCAACACTGTAAACATTTGGCTTCCCGACACTACTTCTAGTAAGTCATCGATATTGGGTAGTGGATATACTTGCTTCACGGTCTGATCATTTAACTTACGGTAGTCTACTACTAACCGGGATTCGCCGTTTTTCTTGCGGACTAGTAGTACAGGTGCGGCATGGGGAGACGTTGTATCCTCAACAATGCCATGTTCTCTCCATGTTTGTATATGCCGTTGGATCTCTTCTCGCTCGTCCCGAGACACACGATACGGTTTGGCAGCATACGGTACACTACTAGGCTTCAGGGTGATATCCATCATCCCCATATTAGTACAACCAAGTTCATCCATTGAAGTTGCAAAGCATGTTCTATATTTATTTAGTATGTTCAACAGCTCGACTTGTTGTTCTGGGTTCAGACTTTCTGGTTTTTCAATGTCGCTATACGTTAGTGGTTGATTTCGTTGTTCTGGTTCGACTTGGGGTGCCTGTACAATCGAAACTCGCCGAGCAATCACTTCGTTGGCTCGTATCTCTATTTCCTGTTCGGTTTGATTTCGTACTGGCACTTGAATTTCCCTGCCACTCACCATTGCAGTAACTAACGTGATCTTTTGTGCTTCAAGTCGTTTGGTTTCACGTGACAGCAGTCGATCTGTTGTACTATCGTTGATGGTTGCACTGGTGGTGATAAACGGAAAAGCGATAGTGTTATAATATGTTAGTGTGTTTTCGTACTTGACGTAAGAGATTTCGGGTGCTTCGCACCACGGCCGACCGATAAGTAGATCGACTGGGTGGCTGACATCTGGAACAATATAGACATCGACATTGTCAAGCGTTGCCTCATCTACCTGTAGGTTGAGTACAGCTTTCCCGATGGCCATTGTCTCAGCGTTGGCACCGAAACCCATAATCGTCGAATCGTTGTTTGTCCAAGATATACCAAGGCGGCGACCAACACTTTCCTTCATGATGCACACCGATGAGCCAGAATCGATGAGCCCGGTCAATTCATTAATACCATTAATTATAACGCGTTTTTCATGTAGTATTTTATCACTATCCGTTACCAGATTGTGCTGAGGTTTCGGATACGTACAGTATGTGCTTTCGCTTGTACTCGTTGTTGCCACGGTGCACGCCCTATGGTGCTTTCCACCAGACCAGTGACAGCTCTCACACTTGGGTTTCACCTGTCGCGGTTCTGGGCAATCACGTTGACTGTGACCATTTTTTTGACAATTCCAGCACTTGAAGGTGCTGGACGTTCTAATATTCTTAGTCACGGGTGTAGACTTACTGCCCTGATTTGACGTTGTGTTGTCGTTGACTGGGTTCACCACTGTCTTGGGTCCCCCCTTGTCAAATTCCTTTGTTGGTTTGGGACGCCAGCCCGGCTTGTCGACCACGTGAACGTCAGCTCGTCCCTTCTGTATTCGTTCGAACACCATAATATCAGCCAATAATTCATCCACGTCCGCATGTTTGGCGACCAGCAATGAACGCGCCAAATCGTGTGAGCTCAGCCCAATGAGCACTTGTTCTTTGATGTCCTCAAAGTTAAGGTTCACTGCTTTACAACGTCTCACCTTGTTGTGAAAATACGCAGTAGTTGCTTCTCCTTTATTTTGAATGCGAGATTGCATTTGCGCAAAGCGTTGTGAAAAGCTGGTTTCAGTACGGAACGTCTTTTTGAATAATAATTCAAAATCCCGCCAGGTGGTGATCTCATGACTCAGTAGCCAGTCGTGCGCTGGGCCGACCATATGCCGACGGGCCATTTGCAGAATTAATTCTTTGGGCCATTTGTGCAGCGTTGCTGTGGCATTCAGGTTGTCTAACCATGCCATGGCTTCTCCTCCAATTTCGCATTCGCCGTTAAAATCACCGATGGCCTGCGATAGGTCTGGCATGATTTGGTAGGCATTGTTAATGGTTGATCCTTGTATTGCGTTATTCTCTAATATCTCCAACAGCGACTGCAGTGTTTCATTGTTGCTAACATTTCCGTCGGTACTCATATTGAAAGGACAGAAGAAAACAACAACAAACGAAAAAAAAAACAATTGAAAACGTTTGTCTTTCGAGAACCGTGATAACAATTATCAACAACAGCAATGTTTGATATCACAAGATTTACGGTTAAGTGATAGTCGAAGTTGGTAGTTACGGTAACCCACTTGAAACACAGTAATGTGGTGTGCGACACAACTCCGATACGACTACTGGTACATAACCTCAATTCGGCAAACCGCGTTTTTCGCTTCTACACGTTTTTTTTTTTTTTTAATGTCACTCGGAACTTCGCGATCGTTTTCGCGTAAACACTAATCGCACGATACTTAACACGACCGAGACAACACAAACTAACACGCAAACTCAAAATATATTATTTTATTTTATTGTGGCGTTTTGGTTATGAATCCCACTTCTGAAATGTTAAAACACTAATTAAGCGGACAAAGGCGATGAACTTAACACATCAACGTTCGGTTATTAACTGTCTTTTATTATAGAGATCACAGTGGTAGGGACCATCTCAGGTCTATCAGTGTGTCCAACCTTCAATATTAATTTTCTTTGCTTACATAATTCCTTAACTAAACTTAATTTTTAACAAAACTTAACTTTTTAACTCGTTTATGCTCAGGCTTGGATATACTGCTGTTCAATATTGTTCGTTAATTTGACAGTTGATAATTTTTATTAGATTATACGTAATCGATCTCTTCTCTATTTATTATTAGTAGAACACAACAATAATATTATATCCTGTACGCTTTGGAATTATCGTCTTTTTGATGCGATGTCAGTAAATTCATCTGTTGGTAAATTCCAACAATTAAAACTGAAAGTGTGGCGCAAATGACCAAAATTAATTTTAGAGGTGGCGCAAAGTACATGTTAATTTTTATATTTTGGCACAAATTACATACGGCCTTAAATGTACTTGTTGGTGGCGCAAATTACAAGTAATTAAATTAAATAACCAAAATACTATCTCCGGTCACGGTTGTTATTATTTTAAAAATAAAAAATAAATAAACGATTTTAAAAATGTGTTTTCTTATACATTGTTTTCTTTTGATATGGTAGGTAGCCAATATAGTTCACCAAAATTTTGTTAATGTACCTTGCGAGGCCCCTTTTAATAATTTCCCGGTAGGCCAAAGATGGCCTATCAGCCCATGATTCATGAGTTATGACTTATGAGTATTATATTAATGTAATGTAATAGCTAATATGATTTATGATACATATTCAAATTAAACTAATCATTTGTTAGAGAAAAAAACAATACGTTTAGTATAAAATAAGTTTAATATACCTAGTTTATAATGTTATTTTAAATTACCTCCACAGAGGGGGTATCTAGTAGATCAAGGGAGATTTAAAATTCTAAACGCTAAATGGGACGAGGCAATCGCTGCAGCTCGGAGAATCGTGTTGTCACTATACAACTAGCCCGAATATATTATGTATTTAATATATTTACTAAAATACATTTTATTGCAATATATACTTTTTTTAGATTCTGAGTGGAACGATGAATGTATTGATTTTACAATGATGTGTGTTTTTTTTTTTAAATTTTTAAATTTTTTTTTTTTTGTGTCTGTCATCGCGTTTTAGGACAGTAAAAGTGCTTGGATTTTCTTCAACAGTAGATTTTCTGATAGGATAGTGAATCTAGTTGGTACTTTGGTGAGGTCAAAAGTAAAAATTTATCAGTAGTTTTAAAAAGCGGCGTGAAAAACAAAATAAAAATTAAGGAAAAACGGGAATTTTTTCACTAAAATCTGTTTTCCAAAAAATCGATTTTGGTTTTTGGTGCAACTCTTAATCTTAAACAAATGACCGTACATGCAATTTTGACTGAATGTTTATATTAGCATTTTCTATAAACGATAAAATTTTCAAAATGTTTTGATTTATTTTGAACTGTTTAGGCACATTTTCATTTTCCATTATTTTTTTTAGTTTTATTTCTAAAAATATCAATAAAATTTTATTTGTTGGTTGAAAAAGCTTAACAATTTAATACAAAGCTCCTACTATATTGTTACAATGACACTTGAAAAATATTAAAAATCCTTAGTCACAGTTTTTTTTATAAGCATTTGAAGTCCAAACATTGACAAAATATGGGAAAATCACGAAAATTAGCAAATTATTTTGAGTTGAGAATTCGTAAAAAATTTTCTTTTTAAATCTAAGGTTTTAAAATTTAATACAAGATTCCTTATAAGATTATCTACCTTTATCAAAAAAAAATGTCTATAAGAAAGTCAATATAAATTTTTATGAGCGTTTGAAATTCAAATTTTTACAACATTGGATATTCACTCAATTTCTCATGTAGCGATTTCCTTATTTTGTTGTAATTCAAAAACGAATAACTGTAGATACATGAAAATTTCACTGAATGTTGATATTAATATTTCCTATACACTGTACAAATTTGAAAATATATTGACTCTTTTTAAGCTGTTTACGGATATTTTCAGTTTTCAATGTTTTAAGTTTTTTTTTTCTATAAATATCAACAAAGTTTTATCTGTTTGGCCAAAAAGTGTAAAAATGTAATACAAGGCTCCTGATATCTTGTTACAATATCAGTTGAAAAATATTAAAAATACATAGGAACAATTTGTTTTTATATGCATTTAAATATCGAATTTTTACTAAATTTATCAAATTTAAAATTGAATTAGTATTTTGTAGTAAAAAATGTATAAAATGTTCAACTTTTATATCTAAGGATTGAAAATTTCAAACAAGATATCACGTAAGTAGTTAATTCTTTTACCAAAAAATCTAAAAAATACAGAAGCACAGTTTTTTTTATAATTATTTTAAGTTCAACTTTGGACAAAATTAAATGAAAAATACCTAGAATAACTATTTTAGTTTTTTTGTTGTGATTGTGTAATATTATTTGTGGGTACTTGAAACTTCTAAAGTGTACTTTTATATATCTATGATAGTATCACAGTTTTTTGTTGATGTATAACGGGTTATAAGTACCTAATGGATATTTCGATATGATAATTTGGAATTTATTATAGGTACCTATTTTAGGTAAATGTTTTTTAATACGATAGATAAGTATATAGGTAATATGTCCTAGACTGACATACCGTCTCTGCTCGGAATCGTTTTTCTTTTACAATGATATTATATCATTGAATTCAAATTTAATACTGTCCATCGTACAGTGACCCACTTTTAACCTACTGTACAGCAGAGCAACTTTTTTATATTCCAAATGTTTTTTAAACGGCCGAGTTCCTGTACCAATTGAAGTTTATAGGGATGAAAATCCAAATCTTTTTTCATCATTCGATACAAATATAATATGTACAATGAACTCAGCATGATGCAAAAATTACCATTCTATACACTTTAACATTTTCAAGATTTATTGACTTATTTTGACTATATTTATTGTTTAAAAAAGCTTAAATATTTAATACAATGCTCCTGATATATTGTTACAATATCAGTTGAAAAATATTAAAAAATACATGGGCACGATTTTTTTTTCATAAGCCTTTAAATTTTGTATTTTGACAAGATTTATCAAAATCTTTTTTGCAACTAAAGATTGAAAATTTAAAACAAATATTCTCATAAGTTTTTCATACTTTAATCAAAAAATCTAAAAATATATAAACACAGTTATTCTTTACAGACATTTTAAATTCAAATTTGGTCAAAATAACATATTAAAACCAAGAATAATGATTTTAGTTATTTTGTTGTAATTTAAAAATATTATTCATGGATATATGAAACTTTTAGAGTATGTTGTTATATTTTAAACACACAATGACTTTTTCAAATGTATTTTTTTTGGCAACAACCTGCTGTAGTAGTTACTAATACCAAAATTAATTACTTTAATCACAATAATAATATTATAAAATATTCCTAAATACAGTAATATTATAGGCTGACATACCGTCTTCGCTCAGAATCATTTTTGTATACAATGATATTAAATCATTGAATTCAAATTTAATATCATCCATTACAGTGACCCACTTGTAACCTACTGTACAGCAAAGTGACATCCACTTGCAAACATTTTTTTTTAAAATTTTTCTATTTTATTCAAAATCATTATTTTTTTTAAATTCATTATCAATTTTTCTTAGTAGATATTTAATCTTTTAAATTAACTTCTGCATGGTGGGCAGTCCGCTTAATACAGTTGTTATATAATATATCAGACACTTTATTCAACTAAATCATAATATATTTTAAAGATCTATGCTGACAGCGTCATCTGAATGTGAACGAGTAGGATCCAAATTAAAATCTCTTATAATATTAAGTAGATCTTGTTTCGTTTTTGTAGTAAGTGCAGCATGAATATCTGATGCATGATCACGAATTTCATCAAGTATGACATCAAGTGGAACACCAGATTTGATTTTCCCTGAATTAATATTAAGATATATAAATAAATTAAGATAGTAAAAAGATAGCTGTATAACCACTTACCCGCTATTTGAGCACGTTCGTCCTTTTTAAGGTTTAATCTGCCAATATTTTCATCATGTCCAATGGGTGACTTTATAAACTGTACCAAGACTACTCCATTTTCTTTTTTATATTTCATCATTAAAGGACAGATATTTTGTTAGAACCTTGACTCTTGAGCTGCTTCTTACGATTCTTATATTCATTATGGAACAAATCACGATGACAAAAATATTCTTTTTTCTTGGTACCATTTTTTTTCTGCTCATTCCTCGATGACACACATATGACCAATGGTTTTCACATTTGACAGTTATCTTCCATTTAAAAAATTCTAGGATAATTAAGCGACAAATTTTTGAATTTTTCAAAACCATAAATCTGTGTACATGGTTCTAAGAATCATAAATTAATTATTATTTTCTATAATCTATAATAGCTTTATATCACCTAATGATAATCTAGAAAGTTTTATGAAAAGTCTTGATTTATTATTCTCTCAAACTAAATATAAGTACTTAAATATTTAACGTGGTGGTATTAATATGCCTAGATATAATGACAAATTCAAAACACAACAATGACTATTTAAATGTACTGGCTAAAAATGAGTATGTACCTATTATGCATAAATAACTTTACCAGAGTTACAGAATCTTAATTAAATAAATATCTACTTAATTTATCAATTCATACAAGTACCACATTAATTTATAAGGGACAAAAAGTAAATGATTTTAGCTAAATTTTTAATTTCAATACTATAGTGGAACTTTACAAAAATAAACATTTAGGTAGTTATGCTGCTTAGATCATGACCATAGTACAAGATACAAAAAAAAATATATATATAAATATACGTTTACTTATTTAATATAAAGTTTTTTAAGGTCTTAAATTATGCCAATTATTATATTTAATATTAATCATTTTTTTAATTTGAAATTAATCAAAAGCTATGTTAAAAGTCATGACTTATCCAGTTTATAATTTATTAATGTTATTAAACTAAATAGGTAGGTATTATGTATTTACTCTTCACTTTTTTCTTATTTGACTACTAGTTACAAAAAAAAAAAATGTATTCTGATACTATGGTACAGATAAAAATTGCTCCCCAGCCCAAGCTTTGCTTATATGGGGTGGTGCAATCTAATTTATACTAAATTTTCTATAATATACAATGTATCACTTTGTTTATTTTGCAAAGATAAATATTTATTAAAATAAATTTTATTACCATTATACAAATATATTACAATTATTGTTTCATTTATTCATTCAATTATCATAGTAATTTTATACATTCATTGTTTTTTTAAATATATTTTAAGTTTATGAGTCATTATAAAGGTAAAACTAAGCATATCTATAATATAGACTGTTTTGTTTTTAATATGTTATTCATTTAAATATTTTTATTTGCATTTCGGTATGTATTTATGATACTATATTTTTGTTCAAAATTTTAAAACCATAAATTAAATTTATTATTGATAGCAAAATTATTGCAGTTAATAAATTGTAGTTTATCATTGCATCTACCTACCTATTTTTATATTAATGTTTTTGCTAATATTCTGCCACTGTCAGATTCAAAAACAAGATTTTCTTCCTCAACAGTCTCATTATGATCGGTTACGATATGTTGCCTCAGCTCATTTCTTAGCTCATATTTTTATCCACAAACAGGACAACTTATTGTCTGTTGACAATTATTCATGCTATTGCAGTGAATGCCCAGCTCGCGAAAACAAGATCGATGACGTTGCATATTGTAATTGGAGTTGGTAGCATATTATGGACAGTATTCACATTTGAATTGTGTTTCAACCAATCTATGTGCATTTTTTTGATGACGAATTAAGTTTGATTGAAATTTTGTTGTAAATTTACAATAAGAACACGACTTCTCCATAGTAATTAAAATAAAATAGAAAAGTATAAAACTAAAAGTAGGTACGTGGAATACGTGAAAATACGTTAAAATATATGGAATGGTAAATATATTAAATACATAAATCATAATACCTATATTCGGACTGTTGTAAAAAAATACAAGTAATTTTTATTGTGTACTTCAGTAGTCAGTTATTTAGTGATAACACGATCCTCCGAGCTGCCACGATTGCATTGTCAAATGGGTAATTAAGATATACAACTAGGATGGTGTCAACCAGTTCAATACGGTTATTTAGATCCCCTGTCAATTAGATGTCGTCGTGTCATTTAGATCACGGGGATCTATTTGGACGAGGATCAAGGTGGCCGTTCACCTAATAATTGTTTGTAAATTATTTTGTAATCTTTATGAAATATTATCACTTCACATCATATTTCGACCATAGCTGAGACTTTGTTACTACTTAGCCACTACAGTCTACAAGTGAAGTTTGATAGTATTTATGGTCGACTTAAACAATATTCACAGACTTTTAAAACCTTAAAGTTTGTATTGTGATTAGAATCCTACAGCGTTAAATTTACTGATCCCTGATTTGGAATGTCTTTCAACAAGGTGGAAGCCGTAGGTTATCCGTTGGCTGCAGTGTTTGATGCAAATGGTAGGTAAACTATAATTTTATATTAATACTTAACAATTGTGTTAATTCTTTTTATTATGAAAATACATAAGTTATTATTTTTATTAGATTTGTTAGAGGCTATAATAAGTGTGATAGCCGATAGGTATAAACGTTTTGTGATTAATTACACAAATTTATTGTTAGGTACTCGTTAGATACATAATATAGTAATTTCTTTTATACCTAAAATATAACATAATTCCAAATTAATGTTCTTAAACTTGTAACAAAAATAAAGATGTTAAAATTGTATCTTATTTAAATTCAAAAGTAAGTGGCAATGCATAAAAAAAATTATAATTTCTTCTGGTTGTTGAATTAGTGTTAAAAGAATTATTTTTAACTGTAATTCTCTATATGAATATTACCTGAATTTTTATTAGTGCATATATCTATATACAATACGATACAATATTAACAGTGACTTAGTGATGGAGATTAAGTTGAATAAGGGTCATGCCCCCCCCCCCCCATCGTCCCATGAAACCTCTTATTGTGTCTGGTACTAGCACCAGAATTCATTTTAACGTATTATTACCAGCCACCAAGGTTGGTATTTTATAGCATTTGCATATTTTTTTTGTAAAATGCTTAAGAAATAACAGAGTAAGCTTAAAATTGTAAATTACTAATTTATAACTCACAGAACTAAAATTAACCATTTTATATTGCATATTTTGAAAAACTTTAGATTTTAGTGTTATTTTTAGAATGGTTAAATATTATTGTATGTTGACCTATTTCTTTTTTTATCAAAATTCTTATTTTATGAAATAACATTTCAATGACATTTGGCCTCATGGAGGTCTAATTGGTTGATTAACTTCATTCTACATGCATAGAAAACCTGCATGTTCTTTCATTGAACCGAGTATATAGAGAATGCTGGTGAAATATTCGCTATTTGTTCAATATTCATTCTTACAAAATCTAGATAAATATTTCTTTAGAGTCTAAAGTTTAGAATATTAATTTAAAATAAAATAATAATAATTATACTATTGTATAATTAAGTGACTTAAATTATGACATTATATGCCTGAAAAAAAAACTAAAATAAATAATTTAAATGAAGCAGATAATTGTAGGCTAATGACAAATTTTGAATCTGTAAAATATTAGAAGTAACTTATTCTGACTGTATTTATTACTTATTCAATTTAGATCAAAAAAGTTTTCTTATGTTGATTTTGTGGCTCGAGGAAAACATATTACATAATTAAGTAGCCGAAATAGTGCTTCGATTTTCAACTTCAGTATCTTGTTCGATGTGAAAGTGAATATTGTTGGTAATTATTTTGAGTTGAGAATTCGTAAAAATTTTTGTTTTTAAATCTAAGATTTGAAAATGTAATACAGGATTCCTTATGAGATTATCTAGCTTTATCAAAAAAAAAAATGTCTATAAGAAGGTCAAATTAAATTTTTATGAGAGTTTGAAATTGAACTTTTTACAACATTGGATCTTCACTCGATTTCTCATGTAGCGATTTCCTTATTTTGTTGTAATTCAAAAACGAACAACTGTAGATACATGAAAATTTCACTGAATGTTTAAATTAGCATTTTCTATACACCATAAAATTTTGAAAATATTTTGACTCTTCTTGAGCTGATTAAGGACATTTTCAGTTTTAATTTTTTTTTAGTTCTTTTTCTATAAATATCAATTAGGTTTTATCTGTTGGGCCAAAAAGTGTGAAAACTTAAAATAAGACTCCTGATATATTGTTACAATATCAGTTCAAAAACATTGAAAATACATAGGCACAATTTTTTTTTATAAGCATTTAAAGTTGGAATTTTGACAAAATGTATCAAAATCTCGAAAATTATCAATCATTGTAATTAATAAATTATAAAATGTTCAGTTTTTATAGTTAAGGATTGCAAATTTAAAATAAAGTTTCTCATAAATAGTTCATACTGTAACAAAAAATCTAAAACATATATGAACACAGTTATTTTTTACAGACATTTTAAATTCAAATTTGGACCAAATTACATATTAAAAAACCTAGAATAACTATTTTAGTTATTTTGTTGTGATTGAATAATATTATTCGCGGGTACTTGAAACTTCTAAAGTGTACTATTATATATCTATGATAGTATCACTGTTTTTGTTGATGTATAACGCGTTATAAGTACCTAATGGATATTGTGATATGATTAATTTGGAATTTATTACAGGTACCTACCTATTATAGGTCAATTTTTTGCTTAATACCATAGATATGTATAATATAATATGTCTTATACCGCTTGGCTGACATACCTTCTCCGCTCAGAATCGTTTTTTTTATACAATGATATTACATCATTAAATTCAAATTTAATACCATCCATTATACAGTGACCCACTTGTAACTTACTGTACAGCAGCGCACATTTTTATTTATAAATGTTTGGTGTTTTATTGTAATTCAAAAACGAATAACCCTAGATAATTGAAATTGTCATGAACTGTTAAAATTACTTATTTCTAAACATGGTAAACTGTATGGACAACTTTTACAATTTTTGAGCTTTTTATAGCCTCCAGAAATTTTTT